AAGAAGGAGGATCCTGGGAACTACAGGCCAGTCAGCCTCACCTCAGTCCCCGGAAAAATCATGGAGCAGGTCCTCAAGGAATCAATCCTGAAGCACTTACATGAGAGGAAAGTGATCAGGAACAGTCAGCATGGATTCACGACGGAAAGGTCATGCCTGACTAATCTAATTGCCTTCTATGATGAGATTACTGGTTCTGTGGATGAAGGGAAAGCAGTGGATGTATTGTTTCTTGACTTTAGCAAAGCTTTTGACAAAGCTTTCTTGAATTCTGAGAGGAAAGTGATCAGGAACAGTCAGCATGGATTCATGACGGAAAGGTCATGCCTGACTAATCTAATCGCCTTCTATGATGAGATTACTGGTTCTGTGGATGAACGGAAAGCAGTGGATGTATTGTTTCTTGACTTTAGCAAAGCTTTGGTCTCCCACAGTATTCTTGTCAGCAAGTTAAAGAAGTATGGGCTGGATGAATGCATTATAAGGTGGGTAGAAAGTTGGCTAGATTGTGGGGCTCAACGGGTAGTGATCAATGGCTCCATGTCTAGTTGGCAGCCGGTGTCAAGTGGAGTGCCCCAGGGGTTGGTCCTGGGGCCGGTTTTGTTCAATATCTTCATAAATGATCTGGAGGATGGTGTGGATTGCACTCTCAGCAAATCTGCGGATAATACTAAACTGGGAGGAGTGGTAGATACGCTGGAGGGCAGGGATAGGATACAGAGGGACCTAGACAAATTGGAGGATTGGGCCAAAAGAAATCTGATGAGGTTCAATAAGGATAAGTGCAGGGTCCTGCACTTAGGAAGGAAGAACCCAATGCGCCGCTACAGACTAGGGACCGAATGGCTAGGCAGCAGTTCTGCAGAAAAGGACCTAGGGGTGACAGTGAATGAGAAGCTGGATATGAGTCAGCAGTGTGCCCTTGTTGCCAAGAAGGCCAATGGCATTTTGGGATGTATAAGTAGTGGCATAGCGAGCAGATCGAGGGACGTGATCGTTCCCCTCTATTCGACATTGGTGAGGCCTCATCTGGAGTACTGTGTCCAGTTTTGGGCCCCACACTACAAGAAGGATGTGGAGAAATTGGAAAGAGTCCAGCGAAGGGCAACAAAAATGATAACGGGTCTGGAACACATGACTTATGAGGAGAGGCTGAGGGAACTGGGATTGTTTAGTCTGTGGAAGAGAAGAATGAGGGGGGATTTGATAGCTGCTTTCAACTACCTGAGAGGTGGTTCCAGAGAGGATGGTTCTAGACTATTCTCAGTGGTAGAAGAGGACAGGACAAGGAGTAATGGTCTCAAGTTGCAGTGGGGGAGGTTTAGGTTGGATATTAGGAAAAGCTTTTTCACTAGGAGGGTGGTGAAACACCGGAATGCGTTACCTAGGGAGGTGGTAGGATCTCCTTCCTTAGAAATTTTTAAGGTCAGGCTTGACAAAGCCCTGGCTGGGATGATTTAATTGGGGATTGGTCCTGCTGTGAGCAGGGGGTTGGACTAGATGACCTCCTGAGGTCCCTTCCAACCCTGATATTCTATGATTCTATGAAGTCAGTAAGAACTGAGAGACCATGGCACCTCACAGGATGGTTTGGTATAAGGCAGAGCTACACCCCTTCAGCCCAGCCCAAAGCCCGCTGCAGTCAATGGGTATCTTTCCATTGACTTCAAAGAAGTTTGGATCAGGCCTTTGATGAATAAGATAATATTCTGATTACATATTTAACACATACTATAAATTGAAACAATTTTAAACCTTTCTATTCATCATACGCTAACATGAACATTTCATTCCTGTTGGTCAAACAAATGACAGCCACAAATAATATCGCAATGAAATTGCCAGTACATCAGGGGACGGCAACCTTTCAGAAGTGGTGTGCCGAGTCTTCATTTATTCACTCTAATTCAAGGTTTCGCATGCCAGTAATACATTTTAACATTTTTTAGAAGGTCTCTTTCTATAAGTCTATAATATATAATTAAACTACTGTTGTATGTAAAGTAAATAAGGTTTTTAAAATGTTTAAGAAGCTTCATTTAAAATTAAATCAAAATGCAGAGCCTCCCGGACCGGTGGCCAGGACCCGGGAAGCGTGAGTGCCCCTGAAAATCAGCTTGCGTGCTGCCTTTGGCACACGTGCCATAGGTTGCCTACCCCTGCAGTACATCATAAAATGAACACTATACATTGATATTTGATCAAACACATGCTGTCTTGTAGTAGCTGAATATATACTGAGGTGGAAATTTATCTAGATTTTTATCTAACCCACACAGGATCCCAAGTACCTATAAAAAGTTTGATTTTTTTTAAATGCAATGGTTATAGCATTATTTTTATTCTATTACACTATGTTTTCACAAGGGCCCTCTACATTCATGCTTGTAAACTGCATCATCTTTGCACATGTAAAACCTGAGTTTGCACTCAAATTCTGGGTAATCTAATTCACAATTCTCTACTCAAATCATAGAATATCAGGGTCGGAAGGGACCTCAGGAGGTCATCTAGTCCAACCTCCTGCTCAAAGCAGGACCAATCCCCAATTTTTGTCCTAGATCCCTAAATGGCCCCCTCAAGGATTGAACACACAACCCCGGATTTTGCAGGCCAATGTGCAAACCACTGAACTATCCCTCCCCCACATTTTTTCTGGTGGAGGAGGGAAGAACACAGGGAGAAAAATGTGCAGGCTTTTTGCACATGTACCAGTATGTGTAGAATAGCGGAAAAACAGATTTTCAGGCCACTTATGAAAATGCAGTTCTTTATTACCAATGTCTATCTTGCAAATTTTTTAGCGTAATTGACAAAACAGTTACAGTATAGTTCGGAAGCAGAAAAGTTACCTAAATTTTAACTTAGAGGGTTTAATCCTACACTACTGAAATCATTAGGAGGTTTGCCATTGATTTCACTGGGCCCAGAACTCACGCTTAAGTCATATTATACAAAAACAAAGGAAAAGTACAGTGAAGGCCCTTGAGCACCCAAAGGCCTCCACTAACATGATTACATAATGGGCAGGATTAAAGGAGCATTTTGAGTGGCCGTAAAGTCTGATCCAGCTCAATAGCTAATAAAGAGTCTCCCAAATTCCTGGCTCCTCCCTTCAGCTCATTATGACTTCAGCCCAAATTGTGTAAAGCTGGAATACTTTACTCAAGAAATGCCAATCACTTCAGGTTGAAACCTGCAACTTCTCTAGTTTCATTGGAAATAACATGTCCAAATTTTCAAGGGATCTCATTATTTGTACGTAGAATATTAGTTAGCGGGCCCATTTGCACGCACAACCTGCATCTATGTCTGCAAGCATACAAATATATATTTGTGTGTGCTAAGAGATGATTTAAGATATCAAAGTGGATAGATTCATGAACAACGTGGTTGCAAATAAGGAGGCCCTTTGAAAATGTATCACTACAGTAAGATATTAAGAGGTTCAATGTTTTTCTTTCATTTTAAATGAAATAAACTAAATGAAAAAGGAAATATACTTTAATAAAGCATAAAACATTTTTAAAATGTCTGTATCTTTAAATCTACATTCTCATTTTTCAAATATTCACTTTAATTAATTGTTTTAAAAATCAATTAGAAATCTCCATATTTTAACTATCCCTCAGGGTTTGGTGGTGTTGTGAATCCACACTTCACTAGGAATAAGCCAGTCAACAGGCCTGAGGAGTAGATCATCTCATAACAAAACCCTCTTGTAAGTCATGCATTATTTATAAATGGATTGACTTGAGGGAGCAATGTCACAAGCTGATGAAGATTGCAACCCAGGCATGTAATTCATTATGGCCTTGATCCTAAAAGCAGATCCACACAGGAAGACCTTTATGCCAGTGCAGAGTTCCATTTTAGTCAATGGGCTCCATGCAGGTGCAGGGATCTGGCCTTGCAGAGCTGGAGCCTATAAAGCCTATCCTCAGCCTCTTACTCAGGTAAAATTTCCATTGTTGGCAGAGTTGTAGGATGCCCTACTCCAAATCAGAGTGAGAAGAGGTGAGGAATAGGTTTTATAACTGCATAACTAAGACTCAGGTGCTCCCTTATGGAAACCTTATATAGAATGTAAAAGGAATTAAATCAAGGCAGACTCTATGGAAATTACTGTAAAAATCTACAGAATTTATAGGTGGGTTTTTCATCCATTCTATAAATATTCTACAACAGAAGTAGGCAATTTTATTGAGTTCTATAGGTTGATTTTAAAAGGTATTGTCTATTCATTTCTATAGGATGCTTCCCTAATGTTTCTCTCCTGCCAAAATACCAAGGCCTCAATTCAGGAAAATACTTAAGCATGTGCTTGAAGACAAGCACATGAGTACTCCCATTGCTAACTTCCTGAATCGGAACACTAAAGAGCAGAAAAAAAAAATACTTAAAATTCTCCCTAATCTTGTTCATTTTATTTTCAATTCATTAATAAATATATACCAACTATAGGGTTTGGGACACTGTAGGGGCCTAAGGCCAAGTAACGGCCTTCAGGCAGCTATCTGATTCATCTTTTAACTAGAAGACAGGGTGGCTCAGGAAACTGGCACTCAGATGGAGAAGCTTTCAACTTTAAGTAGGTGGTTCATATCCAGCCAGCATCAGACCTAACCAGAAGTTATTATTATCTAATAGCTGACTTCAGTGTAATTCCACATAGGTATAAGGGTCTGTCTATATAACTATCATTGTAGGATCAGGGCCTAGAATTGTTAATCTGTCACAGACATGACATTTACACACTTAAGTGACATGATTTCATTATCCCTTACTTATCTATTAAGTCTAACTGCCAATGGATGTCTGAATGGCTACATTATGTCTGCCTCACTTAATAATGAAATAATAATAATAATAATAATAATATCTAGCTCTTATTGGCTTTACCATTACATGTAATTGTTCTTTTCAAAAGTGGCTGGTATAATTTTACATCTACTTCAGTAGTCTTTGTAAATGTGCTTTCAGTAAATATATTGACCCACCATTCATTCCATTGTATACACTCCTGTGATGAGGTGACATATCATCTGCTACTTGTCTCCTTAGGGTACCTTCTCTGCTGCCCCCACTGAGATGTTTGAGATGCTCCGGACTCCCTCCATAATGTTGTTTGAGATGCTCAGGGCTTGTCCCCCTCACTTTCTGGAGATGTTCTGTGCTTCCACTCAATGTGTGTTTTTGAAGATGCTCAGGGCTGCTGCTGCTGTGCTTTTGATGCTCTGGGCTACTACTAGGCCTATGTTTTTGAAAATGTTCAGGACTACTACTTAAAATGTGCTTTGGAAGAGTTTCTGGACTACTACTGGAGTGCTTTTGCTGTTCAGGACTACCTTTGCCAACATTTTTATGATGTTCTGGACTTGGTCCTTTTAGATGCTTCTGGTGATCGGGACTTCCAGAACTCTTAGGTTTTTGGAGATGCTCTGGGCTAAGACTCCTATGTTTTTGATGCTCAGGGCTTCCTTCGCCCCTACTTTTTTGGAGATGTTCAGGACTAGTATTTGGATGGTGTTTATGATGGTCTGGACTGTCCGTACTTCCAGTGCTAGAGGTGCTGCTCCCATCACCAACATCTCGTATGTAAGTACTTGTTGCATTTAGCTGGCAGAGGCTGATTTGGCTGTCAATGGAACTCCTGCTGCCTGCTCCACCACTTTTCTCTTCATCAAGCAAAACACACAGTTCTTTCAGTTCCATGTTTTCTTTAACCACTTCTTCTTGTCTCACTTCCAATTCTTTCAGTTTCTGTAAATATAAGGCAACCTCTTTGTGCATAACCCCAGCACTGTACCTGCCCAATCTCTGCCACTCTCGTGATACCTTCTTGCCTTTCTGCCTATCATCGTCCAGAAAACAGCAAAGGTCTCTCAGTTCTTGGTTATCTTCTTGCAACTTCTGATTGATATCCTTTAAAAGAAAGAAAATAATTAGAGAGAAGTGTCTAAATATTAACATTCATTCTAATGTTAACAGTACATAAGCCAATTAACAGAGCTGTTGTAGACATGTCATCTAACTTCCCCATCCTGCTCTAATCATAAAGAGATGTACAATTATACAATTGTATAATAGAGATAATACAATAATAATAATACAATTGTATTATAGAGATAATTATGTTATCTCTAATCATAAAGAGATAACAATTAGGAATAAATAATTAGAGGCCTGAAGTCAATGGAAATATTCCATTGAGAATGGTTGGATCAGGTCTTAAAACAGAAACAGCATGTCAAAAAGTGGAAACCCTCTGAAGATATGCCCAACTCATAGATTTTATTAAAACATCTTGCTTGAGAAGAGTTTCAACTGCAATTGGCTTTTTTAAAAAAATTAAAGGAGGGAATTAGGAAAATATTAGTGTTTAATCAGAGGACATGCTCTCACTAAAGAAATTAAAGCATAGTATCGGTGAACCCAAAATCAGAGAGGTTTTCAACAATCTGTCCCAGGACTGGAAGGCATAAATACTACCTGCTGCACACTGAAAATGATCAAAGCTTCCCAGAAGCCTGGTGAGAAGCTGTATTGATAAATTAAGAAACAATCTTTAGACAGCAGCAGAGTTTAACACCACAGTCAGACAATCTTAAAAACAACAATCTTTGAATCTATCCAACATGATCGTATATTTTATCCTTTCACATGCACTGGAAATGAGAACATTTAAACCTACTGAAATCTACACGTTTTGAGGGCAAGAATTCAAAGAATCAAAGGTACCCATCACCACAAAAAAGTTTTTGAGGTACATTGCACCATATACTCGTTCTACACCCTGCACACAGTTTGCCACTTCTGTTTCTGCACATTTTAGGGAGGACATAAAAGTAGAGTGATTTTTTTAAAAGATTTCAATTCCTATTCATTGTGGGCTGAATCCAGCCATCCTTATTCAGGTTTTACTCTGTCCTCACTAAGACAAACTGCTGTCAAGTCCCAGTGAGAATTTACCTAAAGAATGACTGAGTAAAAACATTTGAGGAGGTAGGGGAATTGTCCCTGGATGATGCACATGCAGACTGGAAATCCCCCCTCTGATGGAAAGCGCAGATCCCTGAACCCACCGAGGGCCCTCTGCCAGTCCAGGGATGTGGGGGAGAAAGACACATTCATCATTCCCCATCCCCCTAACCTCATGGGGAATCCGTGCTTCTCTTCTCCAAACCTTCCCGCAAAATACCACCAGGAGACTCTTGCCCCAAGCACAGAACAGCCCAACAGACCGCGCGGGCAGCGGGCTCAGCTCCGCAGCCAAACCCCTCCAGCAGCGCCCCTGAGGTGGGCTCGGTGCTGGGGGCGCAGGAGGAGCGCCCCGCCCAGTGCCTGGCGGCAGCGGCCCCCTCTCCCGTGCCGGCCGGGGCTGCCCCCGCCCCTCACCTTGAGGCCGCGGATCTCGCCGAGGTGGAGCTGCAGGCGGCGGTTCACCTCCCGGATGAGGTTGCTGTGGTCCAGCATCGCGCTCATCTTCTCCGCCTCGGCCCTGCGCAGGCTGCGGATCAGCTCCTCCTTGCTCCACTTCAGCAGCTCCTCGTCGGACACCTTGGACAGGTCCTCGGCTGGAGCCGCTCCGCCGCTATCCGCCGTCTTAGACATGGTGGCAGCCCAAGTCCAAGCTCCCTGACCGCGGCCGCCCCGGCAGCAGATGGGGGGACCCCAAAGCCAGCCCGGGCTCTGCCTGCTCCCCAGCAAGTCAGCCCGGTCCAGCTCCCGGGGCTGGGGGCTGACTGCAGGGGCCGGTCCGTACAGAGCGGGGAGCTGGGCTGCGCTGGGGGATTCCCCCAAAGCCAGCCGGGGCTCAGCCCACTCCCCAGCAAGCCAGCCCTTGGCTCTGCTGCCGCTGGGTTCAGGGAATGGGAGCTCCTCAGCCAGGACAGCAGCAGGGACGGCTCTCTCCCAGCAAGTTGGCCACGATGTGCTGCTGCTGTGCTGATACAAGGCGGGGTCCGGACCCGGACCGCAGATCCTGACAGAGCGAGGGAGGTGGGCTGAAGTCTGGGGGGACTCCCACAGCCAGCCTGGGGATCGCACCCTCCTCACCAAGTCAGCTGCAGTTGGCTCTCCTCCTCCTCGCCGCTCCCGAGGTTGTGCTCATCCCCCGAAGCCATCCTCCCTAATTAGGGCTCTGACGGTACCGAGTCCTCCTCCGGCACGCGATGGAGCCATGCGCAAGAACAGGAGTGCAAAGTCCCAAGCTGAAGCACCATAGTGGATGGGACGAGGAGAGCAGGAGGCTAGGGAGCAGGATCCCGCGGGAGCGGGGGGAGCGCCCCTTAAAAGCAGACGCAGCTTCTGGTGCCTGGCTTCTCGCCCCCTCTGTCTGCGCAGCAGTAAGAGAGAGGGGTGCAGGCAGAGGGCAGTGCCGCTGCCGCCGCCCCGCTCCGTGGCATGCCTCCTCGGCGCGTACCCGCTGGGCGGCACTGAGGCTGCATCGGACTCGGGGCTGGGAGGGGGAGGCGGTGGAGCTTTGCAGCGCCTGCAGCTGCAGCCGGAGACTCACGCGCCGCTCCTCCCGCTGAGGCTCTCCCGGAACAAGTGAGCTGACCCGGAGCGGCGCGCGGCTTTTCACAGAGGCGCGTGCCATGTGCGAGCCCACTGGGAGGGAGCCGCCAGCCGCAGCGGCCGCAGTCCAGCGTGGCTCCCAGGCGCCACCTGCTGCATGCCACTGACTTCGCTGCCTGTACAACTAGCTTCACACAGCGGGCTCCTCAGCCTACTCCTCTTTTCTCTCAGCCCTCTTGAATGCCCTGCCTGTACAATGGCAAGGTAGGGGGACGGAGGGAGGGGCAGCATTCCTTATTTGGGAGCTACTACGAGCCTGGGCACTAGCTAGGAGAGATAGAGGAGAAAGTGCTAGAGTCTATGACTGACCAGTTCCACTTAACCTTGCTGCCTTATCGCCTCATCCCAACCCTGGGCAGAAGATATCTTCCCCCCAAAGAGGTGGGAAGGAGTCATTGGTGTTCAAGGAATGATCGATAGTTCCAACCCAGAAGGGACCATTGTGATCATCTGCTCTAGAACAGAGAGTGGGGGAACTATGGCCCATGGGCCGCATCCGACCGCAAGCTGTTTTAAGCTGCCCTGCAAGCTCCCGCTGGGGAGTGGGGTCAGGGGCCGCACCAGGCAACTCAGCCCTGCTCTGGCGCTCCAGCCGGGGCACTGGTCTGGGACCGCAACACGCAGCTCAGCCCTGCTCCGGCGCTCCAGTACAATAAATAGAAGTACAATATTTATGTTCCAGTTGAAATTATATGGTAAAAATGAGAAAGTAAGCACTTTTTTCAGTAATCATGTGCTGTGACACCTTTGTATTTTAATGTCTGATTTTGTAAACAAGTAGTTTTTAAGTGAGGTGAAACTTGAGGTGCATAAGACAAATCAGACTCCTGAAAGGGGTACTGTAGTCTGGAAAACTTGAGAGCCACTGTCCTAGAGCACATCTTGTAGAAAGACATCCAATCTTTATTTTAAAATCATCAGAGATGTTGATTCCAGCAGGACCTTCGATAAATTGTTCCAATGGTTAATTACTCTCTCAATTAAATATTGTACAGCTGATTTCCATGAACAAGACTGTGTAAGTGCTAAAGATTAATTACTATTGTTTGTTGCTGCTGCATCTATTCTTGTTACCCAGCTCAGCCCCCTGGCCAAGCAGAACTGTTCTCTACAGTACATTACAAACTATATCAAGATACTCAGATTTTGCAACCTTGAAGCCTAATGAACAATTTGATGAGAGGGTGAGTGTCAAGGTTCTTTCCCCACTCTGAACTCTAGGGTACAGATGTGGGGACCTGCATGAAAGACCCTCTAAGCTTATTCTTACCAGCTTAGGTTAAAAACTTCCCCAAGGTACAAACTTTGCCTTGTCCTTGAACCCTAGGCTGCCACCACCAAGCATGTTAAACAAAAAACAGGGAAAGAGCCCACTTGGAGACGTCTTCCCCCAAAATATCCCCCCAAGCCCTACATCCCCTTTCCTGGGGAAGGCTTGGTAAAAATCTTCACCAATTTGTACAGGTGAACACAGACCCAAACCTTTGGATCTTAAGAACAATGAAAAATCAATCAGGTTCTTAAAAGAAGAATTTTAATTAAATAAAAGGTAAAAGAATCACCTCTGTAAAATCAGGATGGTAAATACCTTACAGGGTAATCACATTCAAAACATGGAGAATCCCTCTAGGCAAAACCTTAAGTTACAAAAAGACACAAAAACAGGAATATACATTCCATTCAGCACAGCTTATTTTATCAGCCATTTAAACAAAACAGAATCTAATGCATATCTAGCTAGATTACTTACTAAGTTCTAAGACTCCATTCCTTTTCTGTTCCCGGCAAAAGCATCACACAGACAGAGAGAACCTTTGTTCCTCCCCCTCCAGCTTTGAAAGCATCTTATCTCCTCATTGGTCATTTTCGTGAGGTGCCAGCGAGGTTATCTTAGCTTCTTAACCCTTTACAGGTGAAAGAGTTTTGCCTCTGGCCAGGAGGGATTTTATAGCACTGTATACAGAAAGGTAGTTACCCTTCCCTTTATTTTTATGACAGTGAGATTTGAAACCAATGTTCAAACACACATTTATATAAACTATTTTAAATTGAAAAATAACTACCCAAAACCATCCTACCTGTTAGCACTCCTGTTTTCTCTAATGGAGCAAATGAAATTGTTTGTTTAAGATTGTGAGCAACAAAAAGCTCCATTTCATACACTTTGTCCTGACCCTTCATTTACAGACAGAGAGAATTTACCTTTTGGGGCCAAATTCAGATCTGATGTAGTTGGCTACAACACCATTTTGCGGAAGGTTATGTACACCTGCAATATGTTACTGGCTGGGATTTCAGATTCCAAGTGCCCAACATTGTGAGAGTGATTGTAGAGTTGTGAGGGGCAAACATCCTGTACTAGGACTAATCTTCTTTGTGGATGACTTGAAAGTGTAGCCTTATAGTCCATCAGTGTTTCTCACTAAGTAAGGTGATCTGATGTATCTCAGTTTTACCATTGGCAGAAATGGATGAACTGAACCAGTTTGGTGGATAATCTACTGGATTCACTGTACTAGGTCATCCAGTCTCTCCAGAACAATCCTGCATAGGCAGGGAAAGGAATGATAAGAGGCCTTTACCTCCTCTAATTCTGTGATTCAATACTGCTTGGGACTATAAAAGGGGAGTTCTGCCCACTGCTCTTGAAGGCACACTGTATGTACTTTAGACCCTCTCTGTTCTCTTTGCAAATCATGGTGGATCATGAGGTTACAGTCTCAAACTGTCACAAGCAAGATTGGCTATGGCATAAGGCAGAGTCCTGCAATCACTGTCACAGTGAAAAGAAAAGGAGTAGTTGTGGCACCTTAGAGACTAACAAATTTATTTGAGCATAAGCTTTCGTGAGCTACAGCTCACTTCATCGGATGCATTCAGTGGAAAATACAGTGGGGAGATTTATATACATAGAGAACATGAAACAATGGGTATTACCGTACACACTGTAACGAGAGTGATCACTTAAGGTGAGCTATTACCAGCAGGAGAGCGGGGCGGGGGGGGAGATCTACTCCCAGGGAACCGTTGCAGCTAGTGTAGCTTATAGCAGCCACTCAACCACCAGAGGGAGTGGAACAGGTTTAGCACTTTCTCTTCAGGTCCTGTGCTGAACACAGGTCAGCCAAACTTCAAAAGAAGAAAAAGATTGGAAGGTGCTGTAGCAGCTTGTTTTGTCTCACAAAAGCCTCAGGACTGGCCTCACTTCTGAGAGCCACAAATTGAGACTTTAAAAAAAAATTCTGGGACATTTTCATTAAAAACACAAGCGCTAATCAGCTTTGAAGTGTGTTCTTCTCCTCCACAACACATCTGGAATTCCTGTGGTCACATCTATACATACAGTACCTGCCACTGAAGAGGAAAGGCAACTGTGACACAAATAGCCTCAGAAGCCACTTTCAAAAACGTTGGGCTAAGTTTTCAAACCTATTTATTCATTCCAATGTGGCACATGTAAATCAATATATTTAAAACTCCTTTCAAGGTTTAAAAAATGGATTGAGTAATTAGTCCTTACATCAAATTACAGCATGGTTCTAGGAAATGACATCTTTCCAGCTCAGGAGAAAACCTATCTGGAACAATAACTTGAAGGCATCCAAAGATGTTAAACTAAAATTGCTAATGATAACATTTTATGGGGTTGATGTTACTCTGAAGAGCTTGGCAAGATTTTCATACAGCTGACAGTTTATCCTGGCCAGGGTCCAAGAGAGCCTCATCTCTCTAACATCTGTGGGTTTGTTTTAATTATACTTCTATTTATCATTTTGGGAGCCTTTAACTTCATTTTGTCTTCATATTTGATTAGTAAGTTAATGAGGAGCCAGATGCTTCCCTCCATTTATGCTGATGGAGAGAAGCAAAGCAGGTGGGAAGGATGAAGGGGCTATGCTCCACAAAATGCTTTCTTCCCTCCTCCAAACCCCACTACTAATATACCAAGCAATAGGGGTTCCACAGGGTGGGAAGAGCTGAAGATGGAGAACAGCTGATCTGTATGCATGCTCCTCTCCTAATCAGCCTGGAAGTGAATGCAGCTTTACCACTCTCTCCATGGCTGCCTTTGGAGAGGTGCCTTGGGTATAGGTACTGGGGGATAACCAATGGATGTATAGCTCCTGAGGGAGGTGCGTGGAAAGTCAGGTAACACAGAGAGTGCTCTGTACCCATCACTACTATTCTGGGATCCGAGGAGATAGAGCCAGGTTTTTGCATAGCACCTAAGAGTCCTCCCAGTCGCAGGTTCCAAACATTACCCTCTTGAAGAGAAAATATGGAGGAAACTCCAAACTTGCTGACATTCCATTGTTCTTCTACCTTTCTGTTCCTCACCCCAGCTTCTTCTCATTTGATCTCTGACCTCAACATTGTGAGTTAACAATTTCCATACAAGTTCTTGTAACAAGCTGATGAATTTGGGAAGATTGTTTTAACTGTATTAATTTGTACTGATAGTTTTTATGAATCTTTTGAAGCGTTTTAATAGAATTCAGTCTCTAAAATGTAATTTATTGTCACATTGCTTGGATGGTGATCTCGACTTAGGCAGAACGTAGTTCAGTTAATTCAGGGTTCATGTAAACAGGATGGATTGAAAACTTCAGTTTATTCCCCAAAGAGGTGCAGTGCTAGTTTTCTTCACCACTTTGCCAGCAGGCTACACATCTGCCCTAGAAAGACAGTTGGCCCAATTCTTGCTGAGGTGCACCACGTGTTTTCAGTCAGACCAGCACAAAGTGACGGCAAAAGGCTAACAAATGCATGTTGCACTGGTGTAAATGACTACACAAGAAGCAGTCCAACAGGCCCGCTATCTAGAAGTGAGGGTATAGTTCAGTTTCCATTCACATTCGCTCCTTCACTTCTCTGCTGAGATTTCCATGAAGTTCATACAGACAAGCTACATTCTCTGTAAGCTGCGCAGCCTCACGGCCACTCACAAGGCTTACAAGGGCCGCGCAGGCAGGCAGGGAGAGGTGCCCCTTCCCCAGCCCGTGCCAGGCTCGGGCCACACAGGCAGGCAGGGAGAGTTGCCCCTTCCCCAACCCGTGCCAGGCTCAGGGCCGCCGGGCTGCCGAGGAGAGGAGCCCCTCCCCCAGCCTGACCCAGGCCCACCGGAGCTGCCGGGGAGAGGAGCCCCTCCCTCGGCCTGACCCAGGCCCACCGGAGCTGCTGCGGCTGGGGAGAGGTGCTTGTCACCCGGCCCAAACTGTTGCGGCAAGTGAGAGCTGGGGGGAGTCCTCTATCCCCACTGCAGCCTTGGGGCAGCCTGCACACCAAACCCCTCATCCCTGGCCCCACCCCAGAGCTCGCATCCCTAGCTGGAGTCCTCACCCCCTGCATCCAACCCTCTGCCCCAGCCCTGAGCCCCCTTCTGCACTCCAAACCACTCATCCCTGGCCCCACCCCAGAGCCTTCACCCCTAGGCAGAGTCCTCACCTCCTGCACCCAACCCTCTGCCCCAGCCCTGAGCCCCCTCCCACACCTCAATCCCCTCATCCTCAGCCCCACCCCAGAGTTTGCACTCCCAGCCAGAGCCCTCATCCCTGCCCCGCACCCCAATCCTCTGCCCCAGCCTTGA